ATCTAAATAATAATGATGTTAAAATTAATATCAATTTTTATATTTTTTTTATACATATTTAAGACAATAAAGCATTTTTACTTTGTACCCAAAGGGCACAAAATAGAAAAATCCATCTTTTTAAACATTGAGGAAATTTGGGCAGAGGATAAATTATATAGAGTAGGAATTACGTTTTTTTTTTTTATACATGAAGACTATGGATTGAATTTTTAATTTGTAACTATAAATATAGGTAATCATACTAGGCCTTAAGGTTTGGGACCAACCATTGAGCCTCTCGTCCGGTTGGTCTTTTTCTTTTTTAGTTTATTATTATTATTTTTTTAAGGTTAAATGGTTGTTCTATATACTAATAGGCCTTTATGACTCAATTTCAATGGTGAACTTTCAAATTGTAGATAATTTTAGTACTTGTTTTAAAAAAAAGATAAATAAGTCAATGGTTTATGTCTTCTCTTGTAAAGATTTCATATTTGGTGATGCATCCAGTTCTACTAGGTCCATATATGCTCTATTAAAAAAAATAGAATTCTATTTAGATGAAATGTGCCTTTATATATATATATATATATATATATAGATGGCTCAGATTAGTTTTGTATGCTAATTAATCCCTCCACACAAGCTCCACATTGAAAAGAGAAAAAAAAAATTTTTTTCTTAAGCGTTGGCTCAAAACACAAATTGGAATCTTAAATATAAATATAATTTACAATGACACTTATGACATATTTGATTCAGTTTCTAAGTACTTCAATTTTTTGAGACTATTTATATTTCATAAATTAAAATTTTTTTTAAAAAAAATTTATATTTTTAAATTTTTTTAACTTTAAAAAGATCTCAAACAGTAAAAATTTCAAAATTTTAAATCTAAATTTTTCATAAACTTCTTTTTTATTCATTTTTTTTTATTTTTAAAAGTAACTTTTAAATTTTTCTTCCAATAAAAATTTAAACTTATCACTCATAATCAATAAAAAGAAAAAATATATATATATATATATATATATATAGCACTAAGTCAATTTGGATTTGGTTGTTAGAAATTTTAGGTAGATTTCCGTTAATTATATTTGTTTTTGAAATTAGGTCAAATGAAAAATTAATAAAACTTAATAAAATTATGTGACTCAAGCAAATTTAAATTTTATCTCAATTTTATATGTGATGTGATATGAACAAGTGTAAGGTTTAAAATTAAAGATAAGTTACTTAATAGAGATATTCAAAAAATAATTATAATAGATTAGATCTTTTCTTTCATTAAGAAAACATTACTTTTATAAATAATAGTGTTAAAAAATGATATGACCAATTAATTATCATTATATAAAAGTTAAATAAAGGGAGAAAAATCTAAATTTTAATACTAATCATATTTATTTTGTAAATTTTACATAAAAAGTCAAATTAACTCAATTAAAATAAATCATAAAAAATATATTTTAAACACAAGTTTGATTTAAGTCTCAATAAATTTGACCCATGATCCCTTATATCAATTCTTAGCTATGCCACTGGTTTATATTGTATTATTATTAACAATAAAAATAATATAATTATAATATTATAAAAAATTATAAGAATCAATCATATCAAGTACATTATAATTATAAATTTAAAATACTATATGATGTTATAGTA